GCACTCCAAGCCAGGACTGCTTTGCAAGTGGGGCACCCCTGAGAACTGTCTGTCCGGGGTGGGGGTCGGGACCCTTTAAGCGCAGCCCTCGGCTAGCCTGAGACAGCATCTCCACGCTCTAAGTCCTCCTCTGATGCCCTGCCGGCACTGCTTCCGGCCATCCGTAAGCCTGGTTCAGGGTCCACTTAATGTGGACATGCTAGTTCGAATTAGCAAAACGCTAATTTGAACTAGTTTTTAGTTCTAGACGCGTTAGTTCGAATTAGCTTAGTTCGAATTAACTAATTCGAACTAACTAAGTTAGTTCGAATTAGCGCTGTAGTGTAGACGTACCCAAACAGATTAGCAGGGGCCAAAGTCTCCTTATCTAAAAGAGCTCTTACTTCCATATCTGCCAGTCCACTGCCCAGCAATTCTTCTCCCACCCCCATCAGTTGTGCCCTCCATCAGTTCATTTTCGAATTAGCGCTGTAGTGTAGACGTACCCAAACAGATTAGCAGGGGCCAAAGTCTCCTTATCTAAAAGAGCTCTTACTTCCATATCTGCCAGTCCACTGCCCAGCAATTCTTCTCCCACCCCCATCAGTTGTGCCCTCCATCAGTTCATTTTCATCCCATCAATTCAGATCCCCTCTGTTCAGCCCATCCAGATCCATACCCCCGTAAGCTTAGTCCCTTCCAACCTCACTTCTCCTCCTCCTGGAAGGGGGGTACAGAATCATCCTGAGCTGCTGGCAGCTTCTTCACCCTTCTCCTCCCTCCCCTCCCATGTGAATGGTTTCATATTGCAATGAGGAGGTAGAAAGAGCATTTCCTGTAGCAGCTTTGATCAGATGCTCTCTCCCAGGAGGCAGGCAAGTGGGGGCAAGCAGCCATTTGGAAGGCTTAAATTCTTCTGAGGTCTGGAGCTTCTCAGGTCATTGCCAGACTGCTTCCAGTCCCAGACAAAATTATATCACTGGTGGAAAAAATCCTGAGAGTTGGTGATACTCAATGTGTGTTGTTGTGTGTGAATTCCACCAGCCAGACTTGCTCTGTTAGCTCAGCCAGCAATTACGGGGCTGCATTTTTGGCACCCAGGTTCTCTCCTTCCATACTGTATGTACAGGATTTGCTGGGGTGTACATGTCACAGGCTGTTACGCTAGCAGCTTTTCCTGGCACACTTGGAGCAGTGGAATCAGACCATTCATTATGCATCTCACATAGTAATTACGTCCTCACTAACCTTTCCCTCACACACACAGAGCATGTAGCAGCTGGGCCGAAACATTTCCACTTTGATTCTTTTCTGAGTCGCAGCAGTTGCACATTTTGAAAGCTGTTCAGGTTGGGCACTGCGAAGGAGAAGGAAGTTGGTCTTCATAAAGGATCATTTTCTCCATCTTTGTTTCTATAAATCATACTTTGAGAAAATGCTCTGTTAAAAGGAGACAATCATTCAGAACGCTCTAGTCCTTTTTGCTTCTCCTTCCCCTACCTATGCTCATTCCAAATTCACCTCTCACCTCTTCCCTTCTTTTCTCTCATGCACTTTCTTTATTCATATGCATGTGATTTATTTCCCTTGACAGCTGGTTTAATGAAGGGATATCCCGCCATGAAGCAGAGAACTTACTCATGAGCAAAGAAATTGGCTCTTTTATCATCCGAGCCAGCCAGAACTCCCCTGGTGACTTCTCCATCTCCGTCAGGTACCTGCTATTTACTGTGTCTTCCTACCTTAGTTTGGGTTAATACCACTGTCCCTAGCATCCCCTTAACAGGATGGCATTGTCTAGGGAAGATTGCATGGCCCCAGTCAATGGAATCAGTGAGGCATCTGCTTCTTGAATGTGTCTTCTTCCATTCAATTGACAGCAAATACCCTATCCCAAAATCACAACCCCCACTGGACTGGACCATTTGAAGCAGAGCAGAAAACATTCTGTTGGCCATTTCCCACAATGCAAAACATGGACCTTTCAGGCATGTTTTTTGCATGATGGCTTGAGTTACCAGTCAAGAATGCTGTTTAATACCCATTAAGAGGTGACTTACGCCACCGATTTATTTCACGTAGGCCACTGAGCAGCCACCAGAGGGAAAAGACTTTCAGTTGCTGTGGACCAAATTGCATGAGAACCAGCAGCTTCACAACTACGATCATAAAAATATGTCGTGTTTACGTAGCACTCTGAATACTGACATGCTGTATGAACATTGACTGATAAATCAAAAAGACTCCGCTGCCTCAGGCCTCTTACACCCTACGCTTGTTTCCCTTTTCAGCCACTTACCTCTAGTCTGGCCATTCTCAACTTTTGTTTCAAACCCAGCACTGCCCCCTCCTGTGTGAACCCAGCATGGCACTGGGACTGCAGATGTTTCTTCAGAGGTAATCCACTGTTCCACTAGGTGCTGGTGGACATTATGCAACAAGAACAAAGGAGTAAATCTCAGTCCTTTGCCCCAATTTGTCTAGGGATTAACCTGAGGAAAAATACCTTAGGTAAGGTTATAACCTTGTAGCATACTTTCCTTCAAGTCCATGCAGGTCCAGTTGTGAATGGGGCATCATGCTGCTGTCTCATCCTTTTCTACATGTGGTGCAGAATGAATCTTCTCACCATTTGTGGTCATAAAAATCCCATCACTCATATTTTGAAAGTAAAGGTCTGAATCCCAGTACTCTGTACTGATTCTACCATTTGGCCATGCATCCTCAAGACCACTGCATTTTTGTGATTGGTGAGTGATCCCTTTACATATAGGGTCACATTCAGATGTAGTGTATCCAGGTGCAGTGCCACTGACTTTTGCTTTCCACAAGTCCAAATTAGGTCGAGAGTCTGTAAAGGGCTTTTGGGAGTCTTCTGGATGAAAGGTGTGCAAGGAAAGTAAAATCATTCTCATCTGATGTTAATTTTTCCCCTTGATCACAGGCATGAGGATGATGTCCAGCACTTCAGGGTGATGAGGGATACAAAGGGCAACTACTACTTATGGACAGAGAAATTCCAGTCACTAAACAAATTGGTGGAATACTACAAGACCTCCTCTATCTCCAGGCAAAAGCAAATCTTCCTGAGAGATGGGAGCCAAGAAGAAAAGGTATACCCAGAGTTTTCAAACCATCCCTCCAAAACCCAAGAGGAGAGAGCCATCTTATGGGATGGGTTTAGTGCTAAAATGTTGCCTTTGGAGCCTTTCAGTAGAATCCCAGTCAGGTCTCTAGATTAGAGGACCTCCCGTCTCAGCCTAGATTTTTGATTGTTTACAACATAAACACATTACGTAACTTAGTGTGATTTGCCTTCTCCATTTACAACAAGCTGAAGACTGCGATAGGAAACACTGCCAATTGGAAATGAGAGGTTTGCCAGAGCTGTTCCCAAGGCCTGGAACTGCAGGATGTGCTGCAGGTCAGCTTTGAGGTGCATCAGAACAGATAAAAGGAGCCAGGTCTAACTATAGGAAAGGGATGGGGTACAGAATAGCTGAAGAAACACTGTTATAATGAGGGCTCAGGGAGAGAACAGGAAGAGAGAATCACAGAGCAGACTGAGTTTATTAGGAGAACTGAGAGAAATTTTGATTTTTTCCCCCCTCCTTGGATGAACTCTGGATGCTGCCATTGCTATAGCTGAAAGTTTGCAGCATGGCATTGAGGAATTGCTGATCTCTTATTAGTTACAGATCAAATCAGGGTATTGTGCAGGAACTGGGGACAGGATGGCAAAAAGGGGGCATCACGTTGTCCCAGAACTCCAGAGATGTGAGCACAGTTTGTGAGTTCAAGGAAGAAGCAGCACAAGATGTTTGTGGAAGAAGAGAAATCCCTGTCTCTCAAATGCACATTTGTTTTTATGCCAGGATAATGAGGGAATGACGCAGCACAGGCTGCTGCCAGCCACTGCACACACAATGCCGAGAGAGAAAACACATGGTAACTACAGTAACTGAAGTGCTGCTTTACCAGGAAACGGACTCTGGTATTAAATTACCAGGATGTGTGGGTAGAGACAAGGCAGAAAATAAATGACCTGTTCACTGTGGCAATACAGTTTGATCAGCTGAATGTGGGGCATTGCTTTCAGTTCCAAAAAGGTGACAGGATGTATTTTTCAAGCTGATAAAGGGTCTTGTGTTGTTCACTCCTTCTAGATCCCTTCTCTGGCCTTAAAAAAAAAAAAAAAAAAAAAAGGCATTACCAAGATGTAAGGGAGACCACATATAGGAAAGGTAGCTCAGCAGGAGGATGAGAAAGGGGGATGATATTTGTGCCAAGATGTAGCCAGACACACAAAAGATTAGGGGAGAAGTTGCAGTCAGTGGCACTGAAAGTTTGTACAGTGCTTAGCGCCATGGAGTCTTGGGCCACGACAGGGGCTCCCAAGCGCTACAGCGATGATGATGATGATAATCAACAATAAGTAGAGCCAGGTGCTGAGACAAATGAAGCCCAACGCCAGAGGATTCAAAGGAGCTCAGCCGTTTGGGTGTATGTTGGATGCTGAGCTATACTGAAAATACGGCTTCATTGTGGGTGCTGTGCCCTTGAAAGTCTGGGACTCCGCAATTAACCAAATGCCAGGCCTCACACAACCACTCTTATTTATAATCGGAGAACAGGCCGCAGACATACTCTTCTCTTTCAGTAAAGGGGAGCCCAGCCGCACCTGCTTGTTTATTGGAAGGAACACCGGGGCTCGACTCACTCTGTAGTAGGGAACAGAGGCAGGCTTCAAACCCATTCAGGGCCCCAAATCCCCACTTGAACTTCTGAGGAGGAGTTGCTGTGGAGAAGATGCAAAATCTAGGCTCTCCAGTTTCCGGTGGAACAGGAATCCTCTTTGCATAGACCTTAGGGCTAGGGAGAGCAGGGGAGGGTGGGATTACTAGGATACAGAGTTATGGGAAGTAGGTCTGGTCTGACCTTCATCACTCTCCTCCCACCCCTAGGGAAGACGTGGTGGAAGCCTAGAACGGGGGGCACCGGAAGGACTCCGCCTGAGTGGAGCAGCTGGAGAAATCCGAGCATCAGTGTCTAAGAGATATGTAGATCACTCACCATCCCAGCAGCAGCAGCAACAGGTATCACTGGGAAAGAGGGATTAGTTGGGCCAAACCTGGGCTAGAGAACACGCTGGCCTCTGCTCACTAGGAGATGGGCTGTTTACCTAATTTTTAAGTGCATCGCCATAACTGCTTTATGACTGTTTCTTCACATTGTGCTATAGCATCAAGGTATGGTGTCAGCATGGTGACATCTGGTGGACTGAAATAAATATGTAAAATTCTATTTTGTCCTCTGAATTTCACAACTCATGGGACAGACCTGCAAAAATCATACTCAACAGGTAGTGACTTTCTAACTGGAGGGCTGGGAACAACAAACCCAGTCTCACAAGAATGGCCAAGTACAGAGAAATGTTTAGCTTTGGATAAGACTAAAAGTCATGTTGGGAACAAAGAACAACACCTCCCACCCACATATCTAGGAATGCCTTTCAAGTCTGTAGGGCAAGCCCAAATGTGCAGCCAGTTTTGCAGTGTGTGGTGATAATGTTTGGCACCATTGTGCACACTAGGGGTGTGTCTAGACTACAGGGTTTTGTCGACAAAAGTGGACTTTTGTCGACAAAACTATACCTGCGTCCACACTACCGCTGAGTTCTGTCGACATAATGTCGACAGAACTCAGCAGTTTTGTCGACGCTGGTAAACCTCATTTTACGAGGCATAACGCCTTCTGTCGACAGAGTTTCTGTCGACAGAAGGTGTTATTGCATGTAAACTGTCCTTTGCGTCTACACTACCATGTCGACAAAGCAGCTTGCTTTGTCGACAGAACTCAATGTAGTGTAGACGCTCTTTGTCGACAGAAGCTTTGTCGACAGTATCTGTTGACAAAACTTCTGTCGACAAAACCCTGTAGTATAGACGTACCCTCTGTGAGGAATAACGCCTTTTGTCAACAGAGTTCTGTCAGCAGAAGGCGTTATTGCATCTATACTGTCCTTTGCGCCTACAGTGCCATGTCGACAAAGCGGCTTGCTTTGTCAACAGAACTGGATGTAGTCTGGATGTAGATGCTCTTTGTCGACAGAAGCTTTGTCGACAGTATCTGTCGACAAAACTTCTGTCGACAAAACCCTGTAGTCTAGACATACCCTAGGAATGGGAAATGGGTTGATTACCACTGGAGAATTGGGTTTCTTTGAGCACATTCCATATGTGCCATATTTCCCTGTTGGGAGTTCCTGGTGAGTGGTCCTTCACTCCTGAGGCTTGGCAAAGATGGTAAAGGTGCATGCAAAATATGGGATGGAGGAAGAGAGAGAGCAGTGCATGGTGCTGCCTTTACAACCATTCCCTGTTAATTTGGGTGGGAAACAGTTTCCATAGGGAAGAGAGGATGCTTCCTGTCTGTAGCAGGAGATGCTTCCACAGTAATGGCCTCATCTGAGGAGAGACTAATCCCACTAGAGAAGGGATCCAAAATGAAGCCACATAGGGTAAGAGTCCCAGTAGAGGAGGGCCAAGGATACTCTGGAGTGGCCAGTTCTATACTTCATCATTCAGGTGCAATGTTACATAGAAAGGGGACTGTTAGCAGAATAATTCAGCTTGTCACAAGATTGGAGCCTGGGCCCTTTGTGACAAATCTGTCAATATGTCATCTACTATATCTCTGAGAAAGTTTATTTGTCTGTGAGTCTCTCTGTATGTTCGTTCAAGAACTCCTCCTAATCAGTAAGAGCTAGGACTGCCAAATTTGGTACGCAGCTTCCTCTTATCATAACTTAAATCAGCATAAGAGCTTGGTTGTGCCAGAAAAATGGTATGTGCCTAGAATAGGATTGCTTATCAGAAAACCATACTGAAGAGAGACAGAATCACCAGGCAAGTGAAAGGGATGGCTGGAGTCCACCCTCTCCCCTTGCTGGGACTACACTATCCTCGAGCCAACCACCCCTTAGGTGGCCTTAATGTTCCACGATTCACACAGGAACATTGCTGGCTATTCCCCTTCTTCAAAGAGCAAGAGGAAAGTGCACAGTTTGCTGCATTCCTCACTCTGGCTGGGGAGCACAGAGGGATAGATGAATCTGGACTTGCCCCAGATGGGGAACATGCACCACTCCCCTAGCTGTGCCACCTGGAGCTGCAGCAGCCATGGAAAGGTGCTTCCCACCTAACCCCAAGATGCTGTGCTGAGAGAGGGCTGGTTCCCAGGGCAGCCTGCATATTGAACCCCTCATCCCAGCCCTACCCCAGAGCAATGATTTATATGAAAAACTAAAATTAATTGAGTTAAGGACCTGGGCAACGGTGAGTAAATAATCTAGTATTTAATACAGAGTAGAAATACTTGCAAGAGAAAAGTATACCAAAAAAATGAATCCTGTGTCTCTAAAGCCAGACTGAGTCTGACTCACTGACACTTCCAGCCAGGGGCAATTGACGTGCAAACAGGGATCCAGTCACACTGACCTTTTAGGCCAACCAAAGCGCAGGTACAGGGCATTTGAAATACTGGGTTTTGAGACAATAGCAATTTACAAAAACCAGAGACTACTGCACTTCCTCCCTTCGCCCCAAGATAAGACGGTTGATCACACATTATATTGCTAAAATGATCCTGTAACATTGGCCGAGCATGCCTGAGAGTTTGATGAATTTTCTCCCACACCTTTCACATCTCTAATGTGTTACAACCTATGCAGGAAGAGGGATGACATGCAATACCTGGCAGTCTGAAAGGGTCAAAGCAGAATGCTTTCTAGACATGTCTGCCTTTCTTCATTCCCAGCACCTAATCCAAGATGTACCCACCTGGGTGGGCTAGTGCTAAGTAGAACACTTGGGCTACGTCTACACTGGCCCCATAAAACGGAATAGTCATGCAAAGCAGGTAAGTCAGAATAGGGAAATCTGCGGGGGATTTAAATATCCCCCGCGGATTTAAATAAACATGTCCGTCGCTTTTTTTCCGGCTTGGGGAAAAGCCGGAAAAAAGCGTCTAGACTGGCGCGATCCTCCGGAATAAAGCCCTTACAAGTAGGAATAAGAGATCCTCCGGAAAAGGGCTTTATTCCGGAGGATTGTGCCAGTCTAGATGCTTTTTTCCGGCTTTTCCCCAAGCCGGAAAAAAAGCGGCGGACATGTTTATTTAAATCCGCGGGGGATATTTAAATCCCCCGCGGATTTCCCTATTCTGACTTACCTGCTTTGCATGACTATTCCGTTTTATGGGGCCAGTGTAGACGTAGCCCTGGTGTGTTCTCGTACTGTTTTAAATTTGCTTTTCTTTCTTTACTTAATAAATCTCATTTTTAATAGGCCCACTGGAATATTAGGCCTGCTCTATTCTCTGCACTGCAGGAGCAGCACAAAGGCAGAGGGAAACACCTGGTTCTTTCCTCCCATGGAGACATCGCCAGCTGGCATAGAGACAGCATAGCCAGTGCCTGTGCTACTCCTACTGCCAACCCTGATGAGGGAGTAAGGGGAAGGCAGAAGGAGGCATGACCAACACATACTAATCAGTCCTTGTCTGGCAAATGGTCCTAGACAATCATAGCCAGTCAATTTAAAGCAACCGTGGGTTTGCTCCAAACTATTTCAGAGGCCAAAATTGCCACTCCCTTCTTCCAGCTCTCCACATTCATCAACACTCAGCAGATACAGGAAATAGCTGAGAACATAAACTATTGCTTAAGACTTTCATATTGATCCAAAGTGAGACAATCTTCAACCTCTAAGAGGTTAATGGTACAAAAAAACAAAACAAAACAAAAAAGAATCCTATGTCACTAAAGCCAGATGGAGTTTGAGTCTGACACTTCTAGCCATGGATACTTGACATGCAAAGTCAGATCCACTCACCTTTTAGGCTGACTAAGGTGCCAGCATGATCAAAGGAGCATTTGAAATGCTAAATCCTGAGACCACAGTCTTCACTTCCAGGAAGTGTGAAGATCCACACTGCAGTGGTCTATCTTCTGGGCTACGTCTAGACTATATCCCTTTTTCGGAAAAGGGATGTAAATTAGACGTATCGCAATTGCTAATGAAGCGGGGATTTAAATCTCCCCCGCTGCATTAGCATAAAAATGGCTGCCGCTTTTTTCCCCGCACGGAGCTTTGCCGGAAAAAAGCGCCAGTCTAGACGCTGATCTTGCGGAAAATAAAGCCTTTTCTGAAAGATCCCTTATCCCTTGAAATAAAAAAAGGGATATAGTCTAGATGTAGCCCTGGAGTTTGATTTAGCAGGTCTAGTAAAGACCCACTAAATTGAATGCTGAGAGCACCGCCATCTATCACTCATCTACACCAGTACTCTTTGATTTGTGAGTAGTAAGGGAAGCCATTGACCTAACACTGTGGAGATGATGCCAAAGGTCGAATTAAGGTACGTTGACTCCAGCTACACAATTAACATAGCTGGAGTTGTGTATCTTAATTTAATCTTCCAGGTTAAGTATAGAAAAGACTTGAGAGAGGAAATGTGGAAGCTATACCCAGGTACCTAGCTTGAGATTCTTGGTCCAAAGGGCATGGACTAAGAGATCCTTCCCTATTAGGTGTGTTGCTTACAGCCCAATGAACACCCGGGGCAGGGGAGGGGAAACCCAATAAATGGATATAAGAAATTACTTGGAGGCATTAGGTGACATATATATTGGCTGGATCCTGAAACTCTGTACTCAGTAACTGTAAACCCCATTCCAGTTTGCACACCTGAGTATATTAATGGCTCTTCTCTTGCACTTCACTTTCTAGCACAGAAGTGGTGGAAGCTTGGATAGGAACGATGTCTGTCATGGCCTCAGAGACTACGGAGAAGGAAGTGCAGCATCCATGTACCGGAGACCCACACAACCATCCCTTCAACAACCACAGGTAGGAGGTTTGCACTATAAGCCTCTCCCTGATTCTTTCTTTCAAGGAAACAATCATAGAGTCTAGGAGATTTACTATTCTGTGGGGAGGACAGGGGAGAAACAGGAACTCCATTGAATTCCATGCTGATGTCATGCTTTCACATCCCAGCATTGCATTTCTTGCTCTTTTTGGTTTGAGCTGTGGTGAAGATTCATAAGAATTGTGCCTGACCTTTCCTATCTCCTCCTTCTCAGCAAATACTATGGGCCCAGGCCTTATATGACTTTGAGGCACTGGAGTGTGATGAGCTAGGATTCCGCAGTGGAGACATCGTAGAAGTCTTGGACAACTCTAACCCCTCTTGGTGGAAAGGGCGCCTGCACGGCAAACTGGGTCTCTTCCCAGCCAACTATGTTACACCAGTGACCCGGTGAATCTGCAGCACTCCAAGATAGTTTGGGATGGAACTGCTCTGGCATGTCAGGGGCAGAGAGAACATCTTCCATGCAGCCAGAACATATGATGTTTTTATTACAGTAATAATTTATTGGCAGTTTATCCGTTGATGGGTTAATATTAAAGTGACTTCTGGAGAGGAGTAGAGGGTTCTCTCTCCTTTTTATACCCACATGTTAGAGGGAGCAGGAATTCTGGATTGTCCATGTGGTCTTGCTGGATGCTGTCTGCACTGCTGTCATTTTGGCAAAATATTGCTAGCTCAGACTTTGCTAAATTAGATAAGTCACAAGGGAACCCACCTCAAGCAAAGCAGGTTTTAACTTGTAGGCAGCTTCACCTCCTCCAACATCTGAGTACCACCTTTTGGATCTTACAGCACACTGTTTAGTAGAAGAAGGAATGTGGTCCTGCAGACTGTTGTACAGAATAATTAATGTGGAACCAATATGGAGGAGGGGGGGGAAACCAAGTTCTTTGCAGCTCCTGATAGACCTACCCTCATGCACTCCTGACCATACCACAAATACTCCTGTCTACTGTCTGAGCTGCCTTCCAAGATATCCTGTACTTTCCATTAAACATTCCTGTCGGGGCCTGGCTTTTCAGCCAAACCAATAGTCAACAACTGTGAAAACAGTGGATGTCACCAACAGTCTTGTTTAACTATAATATTGTTAGTAGTATGTTGCTGCCTAAAAGTAAGTACTCCTTCTATATTTTTGGGAACCTGGAATGCCTGTGTTTATAATTTTGAGTTGCTGGGAACATGTATCATCCACCTCTGTCTCTGTGAAACCACACACATACACACTCAAATCCACATATGTGTATTTTCCTGCAAGGGTATTTGATTGTTCAGGGATATCAGAAGTCAGGCAACTATATATGGTAGCACAGTGCTGCTTTTACAAATTGTCCCAATTTCACACCCCTGATTTCTCACCCACCTCATTCATGGCCTCTACTTCCACATGCATAGCTTCCTTGTCACCTCTCCTCAGTAGCCTTCTCACTGGACTCTACTTATCGATAATACTATAGTGCCAGAAGCAATCTCTAGTTATTTCAGTCCATTAGAGATGCCTGATTCTAGGCAAGGCTCCTGCTCTACTTATGGGAATGCAATGAATAATGTTGCTATCATAATACAACCTCCTTATATATCTGTTTCCTTTGAACTAAATAAAGTAAATGTACAATACCTTGGAAACAAGTTTAAGAGTAAATTAAAAAACAAAACAAAGGAGAGTTGTAGAAATCACCAGTAAGGTTACACACTTCAAATATACACTTAAAATTATCAAAACCTTGAGCAAAAGCCCTGGGTCACTGCTACTCATGCAAGTTGAAATTTAGCAAGCTGCCTGAACAAAAGAGTTTCATACCATGTTTAAGACCTCAGGAGTCAGCAAGGAACTACAGGTTTCAGTTTATTTGGCAAGAAAGAAAACACAAGTAACAAAACTAAATCAGACTCATCAGTAAAAATGGGCTTGATAAAGGACAGAACCAATAGGAAGAAAAGAAAAGAGGATCCAGGCTGAGTGCCATCCGTTGACATGACATAAATACCATTGTCACAAAATATGTGACGTTTCCTGTTCTTGAGCAGTATGAAACTTTTCAAGAAAGCTTGACAAATATGGCCAGAAGTATTGGTTGCTAGGGGATCAATGAAGCAGAAAATTTTACATGGATCTTCAGTCTCATGTGTAATGAGGGACAGCTAGTCAGTTTAATGGATGCAAGCAGAACTCCACTGTCGTGGGTGCCATGAGAGGGTTGGCGTAGGGGTACAGTGGCTGAGAGGAGCCCAATCACCTCCATAAACAAAGCCAATATTTTCCCACCACACCACAGATGACAGAGTATGGCTGGTCCCAGCCCATCCCCCCAGCCCAGTATGGGACTGGGTGCTGCTGTTTTCTATTTCAGAGCAGCTGTTCCAGGAAAAGGACAATGAGGCCTTGCCCTGGGCAGCTGTGAAGGGGACAGCCTAATTATGGAATTTTACTTTTTATCCAAAAGCTTCCAGAGAACTAAGCAGTCCCTGGACTCCCACTGAAAGTTGCCCCGTCCCCTAGTGAAATCTAAAATAATGCCCCTGAATTTGGTTACCCAGATTTAGGAGGTTGAGTTTGTCCCTGGACTCCCACTGAAAGTTGCCCTGTCCCCTAGTGAAATCTAAAAAAATGCCCCTGAATTTGGTTACCTAGATTTAGGAGGATGAGTTCCAGGAAACAGCAGGACAAGGTGGATGAGGTAATAGCTTTTATAAAGCCAACTTCTGTCGATTAGAGAGACAATCTTTCTCACCAACTGAAGTAGATCCAATAAAATATATTACTTTATCCACCTTAACTGTCCAATATCCTGGGACTGAAATGGCTATAACACTGCCAGAAACTGATGGACATGGTAGCTCCTATTGAGTGAAGTTCAGATGTGGTACAAATAGGTGTATTTTTATTTTCTTCGGTGACTTTGTGCCTGGTTAAATCTGGGCTAGATTTGGCCCTAATAGTTCCACGTGGGCTAGGTTCGGAAACCCTTATCCACGCAATGTCTAGACTGCTAGCTTCTTTTGGAAGAAGCTTTTCTGGAAGAAATCTTCCTAAAAAACTTCTTCCAAAAGAGGCCATCCACACTGCCAAAGTGCATCGAAAAAGCAATCTGCTTTTTCGAAAGATAACATCCACACTGAATGGACGCTATCTCACATTAGGCTGTGATTACTACGGACAGAGTGGCCACCAGGGCATCTGTGCGTTTTCCTCTTTCCTCTTCTTTCGAAAGAACTCCCTCTTCCCTGTCCACACACGCCTTTTCCCAAAAGAGCTCTTTCGGAAAAAGGCTTCTTCCTCGTAGAAAGAGGTTTACCAATGTTGGAAAAACCCCTCTGTTCTTTCAATATTCTTTTTCGAAAGAATGCGTTTGCAGTGTGGATGTAAGTGAAGTTTTTTCGGAAAACAGCCATTTTTCCAAAAAAAACCTCTGTAGTGTAGACATAGCCACAGACTATTTCTCTCTCTTTGAACAGTCCTCTTGGAAACCAATGGGACTGCTTATAGAGTCAGGTGTCCTGTTCAATGAGAGGGTGTCAGAATCTAACCCTAAGTGACTCCACAGCTTCAGGAGGTTCTTTTTAAGACAAGGATAAGATTTGGAAGAAGGTAGGTTGAAGATGAAGAAAGAGAAAAGAACAATGCAGAGGAAGATGGAAGAAGAAAAATCAAAGAGCAACAAAAGTAAAGAAGCAATGTCAGATCTGGAACTCCCTGAAGAAGATAAATGGTTCTTTCAGATTAATCCCCAACATGCTGTAATAGTAGATTAATTGTTATTTACAATTTTTTAAAAAATTTAAAACAGATGATTTTTTTCCCTTTGCTCGGCCTTCTAAAGCTTGTGTAGGTAATGAATATGTGGTTGCAAACAAATTAGACTGAGGATCATATGCTTAGCACTTAGCGCTTTACATAGCTAAAGCCTCTTTACAAAGTTTAAGTAATTAATACTGGGCAGTAAATTGGAAGCACTCCAGTGTCAAGTGATGGTTTCTTGAGTGAGGGGTTGCTCTCCATGTATTTTTTAAATTGATGTTTCAAGAAGTAATATGTAAAGCAATGAAATCAAAGAGATTATGCACATACTTATGCCTTAGAATCTCATAAGCTGTATCTTCTTGGTGTTTGTCAATATTTTATAAAGCAATAATCCAGAGATACAGTCTAGATGATATCCTACTGTGAAGCTGAAAGGGCGGGGGGGAGGAGGGGAAACCCAGTTAAATATTTGATTTAGTATTTTTCACAGGCAAAAATGACAGCATATGAGAAAACAGATTATAAACAAGAACAGGAGTAGTGAGAGTGGAAAGGCAAGTACATTTTTTAAAACAAATCACACTGAGGAAGCTGGACTGCATTTGGAGGGATAACAGGAGTGAAGGTTATTAAGCAGAGCCCAGCTGCGTTCACACTGAGGGCTGAACTAGCTTTTTGTCCTCAATATGGTGAAAATCCATATTTTATTTACAACCCCTCAGAAGCTAATAAAAATGAGTAAACACAAGAAATGAAAAGCTTTAACACAAAAACCAGAACACAGTGTTATGTGTTATAGAGCTGCTATGAGTGTGTATACACACACATAACAGATGCACACACAATATCACACAAGAGACCATAGATGGTTAATGTGATGGGGCACCTGCCCCACGCTGGGCTGTAAGGGGTTAATAGGGCTCTAGGGAGCAGTGCAGGAGGCAGCCAGTCAGAGAAGGGCTGAGAGGAGCAGCCAATCAAGGCCCAGCAGGTCCATATAAGAAGAACTTCAAGGCAGAGCAGCTTCAATCATTCTCTGGAGTTTGAGAAGGGAGAAGTAGTTGCTGCTTTGCAGGCTGAAGGCAGCAAGCACCTCAGAGAGAGCAGTGCATCAGGCAGAGATCAGAGAGCTAAAGACAGCTTATGGTGGGCTGAGGCCTTGTGGCAAAGGCAAAGAAGGTGCTGGAGCCAAGGGGAAGTGGCCTAGGAGTTGACAGGGACCTAGTGATAAGTGGCAGCCATGTACAGGGTCCTGAATCTGGGACTCAAAGTAGTGGGGGGACTTGGTCCCCCTTGTCTCCACTCACCTCTGAGGGAAATGACTGGACAGAGATGGTAAGTCACTGGACAGAGATGATAGTGTGTGGTACAGCCAGAGAACTGTATCTTGAAGAGGACACCATAGTCCTGGAAGTGACAAGGGTCCTCAAGCAGAAGTGATGTCAGCAAGACATCACCAGAAGAAGGTGCAATAGCAGGTAGAGCTAATCCCCAGGACAGCCAGCAGGAAGCACTGAAGTGGTGAGTCACATACCAGCACAGTTACATTCTGGCAGTTGCTAGGCAAAGGGTGTACAGAGAGACTATTCTCACCATTGTGCCTAGAGATACCTGTCCAGAATGCCAGGACTAACTTCCTAAGTGTAACCTCAAAGGTATACTATGGGATTAAGTGATCAGATCTCCCTTTTTTCCCCCTCAGTATTGCAGCCACGTTGGTCCCAGAATATGAGACAAAGTGGGTGAAGTAATATCTTTTATTGGACCAATTTCTGTTAGTGAGAGGGACAAGATTTCAAACTCAGAGCTCTTCTTCAGGTCTGGAAAATGTACCCAGAGGATATGTCTACACAGCAATCATCTCAGCTGTCTCAAACGTGGAGGGCTCGAGTTATGAGACTGTTTAATTGTGGCGTAGAAGTTCAGGATTGGATGGGAACCTGGGTTCTAGGACCCTCCCCCCTGCTTGTGAAAGGGTTAATTTGCATGAAGAATGAAAGTAGTCACTAAGGCCATGGCTACACTATGAGATTATTTCAAATTTACTAAGTTTGACTTCTGGGAATATGAGATTATTTCAAATTTACTAAATTTGACTTCTGGGAATCCGATTTTATAAATCTGAAGTTCCATGTCCTCACTACGGGGAAGAATCGAATGTAGTTCGAGGTGGGCTCCGTTAATATAGACCTGCTACCTTGGAAGCACTCTGGGGAGCTGCGGGAAGCCTCCCTGAGGCCAGTGAATTTGAATTAGCAGCATCGGAGCATCTACACTAATGTTATTTAGGACTTACAAGTTCAAGAATAGCAGTATTCCTCATGGAAAGCAGGACTACAGAGTTCAAATTCTGAGGCCCCTTATTCTGAAATATTGGGGTTGGTAGTGTGGACACATCACTTACAAAATCTGCCTTCGGGGACTAATTTTGGACTAAGGTTCTAGTGAAGACCAGGCCTTATGGAAGCAGAACTGACAGTGGGAAAAGGCTGTGGATTTAGCTGACAACTATAGGCCTGGAGAGAAACATGGAAAATGAGTAAAAATGTGCACATACCTCAATGCAGAAAAGAAATTTAAAACATATTTTATGTTTTCACTGTGCAAACAAAAGCCACTCAGCTGATGTAGTGTGTGCTACTATGAACATGGAAAATTACACAAATGGCAGAAGATTAAGGACACTGGCTGAAAATGCAAACAGAAGAGCAGCCCAGGTAGTCAAGGAATGTCCTAGAAAGGAAGGAAAAAACAAAAAAGTTTATGCACAAAGTTAACATTAAAGTAATTTACAAACAATTAGAGATTTATTTTTGTTAGATATTTTCATATTACAATAAGGATCACCACTGGCATAAGCAGGTGCAACTCCACCACTGTGGAGATCTGACCACAGTGAATTTGGTCCTGTAAATGAAAGTGAGGAAAACTTGATGAAGAAAGCTGTTCAGAATGGATGTGTTAGCTGTACAAGTGAAGTCTGTAAATTGTAAGAACATCCTGATTTCATAACTGATGTTCAAATCCCTATTTAAAAAGCACTTCTAAGAAGACTTTCAATGAACCAAAGAAAAATTAAATTAAAAAAAGACAACTGTCTGATTGCTCTAAAGGTCATCCAGCTGATATAGCTTTTATATCTGTTCAGTAGTGAAAGTATCAGACCCAGGCAAGCTCTTTGGAACAGGGAATCATGCCACCCTCTCTGCTTGTAAAGTGCCTACACTGTCACTGCTCCAATATTAACAAGTAATTATAAATGGAGAGAATTAGTTCAAGGTAATGGACTGGAAATAAACCTTGGCATGAACTAATATTTTTAGATGTTGCAGCACTGATTAAGCTATACGTTGTTGAATTAGAAGCAGAATATAATTCATCATTTTTGTACATGAAAACTGGATAAAAACACAAATAAAATAACTTTTGTGATAAGCTCCTAGGGACAGAGTCTTCATTGTTGTGAACCTTGTGCAGTCATTTTCACTAGTGAAAAGTTGATATGAAGTGTTGCCTCTTGGTTCTTACAACCACTTTGGACTTGTTAAGAGTGTACTACCATAGGGTGCCATTTTGGTACCAGCTGTTTTCTGGTCACTGATGAATAAAGTCTAATCCACAATGCTATGTCAGTGACTTAGTGAGTAAGACAAATGAAGAACACTACTAAAATTTGAGGGATGTCTTAAAACATTTAGATGAATCAGAAATAACATTGGAAAAGACCAAGGATTTTGCTTA